CAAAGTTGGAACTGCCCCACTTTATAGAAACAGACACCGGCATTGTAGGCTACTCTCCCAGGAAACAGTCCTCGTCCTCCATAAAATGCGCTGGACACATCTGAATATTTGGGTTGAACTGTTCTGGAACAGTGTTGTAAATACAACTTAACCACTGATTTCTAGTCGTGTCCTCTTTTGGAAGGCCAAACAAAGTAGTTTCGCTTTCACAACGAAGCACACAGCGCCTTCACGACATGGCGGCGGCAACAACAATACTACAGTGAGAATAAAAGTTACGCCTTCTTTCTTTGCGTGAACATTTGGGCGGCGTTATACAAATCTTCCCACATCTTGATGTAGACATGTGGGGGCGTGTTAGAATGAGCCGTTTTAGGTAGGCGTGGTTGACTCTTAACTTTTATAAAAAATATCTCTTTGGATTTGAGACTTTAGTCTTTGCAACTTTACAGATCTTCTTTATGCACCAAGAGCTTTTAACACTCCAAAGAGAAAGGAAAAATTGAAATCGCATCATATGACCCCTTTAATAATGTGTCTATGTCTGTCATTGAAGTTATGTTTTTATTGTAATGACCTTGAAAAGTGGATTCAGCATTGGGGGAAAATTAGCATATTTTTACTCAAATATAATACATTTATGGTATATTGCTTGTGTGTTTCAAAGACACTCATAATTAATTTGAAATGTACTCGTGATACAAAAAAAGTACACTTTAATATCACTGATCAAGCGTGTAATTAGGCATATACTTACTGAAGTTGTTCAAATTTAGCATATAAAAGTACACTAAATACACTTAAAGTTATACTGTACTATAATTTAATTACAACTAAAGTACACTTAGTACAAAAAATAATTGTTCCAAAATAGCACACTTCAAGTTAACTAATCATTAACACACTTGAAGTACACTGACAATTAGTCTGGCTGCAAGTATACTTAACATATATATATTTTTTTTTTCACTAGGGGAGCTACACTAAAATTACTAACAAAAAGTTTATGTTCACACCGTATATTGTAGCCTACTTCAGATTGTGTGAATATTTTATGTTCAAATATTTACCAATTGTTGAACTGAATGCTAATTGAGACTATACTAACCAGTTACAGCCAATATTTCCCCTGCAGCCCATGCAGTGTGGATTGTAGAAAGACTAGCAAGCAGCTAATGTGCTTAAGGCTCCTCGTTGTAGGGTAACTCTCCTGTAATCTGTAAATCCTCTTCATAAAACCCACCTGTGCGAAATATGCTGAGCCTTGAGCATGTCTACCCAGGCATTTCACAGGGACAAGGGTAGCCTTAGTCCACCTGACACTACACGATCTAGAATATGCAAGAGTGGAAATAAGTTCATGACAAATATTCTTGTGTTTAGTACACTGCTTTTATTATCATGAATGAAAAATGACTGATGAATGAATTTCTTATTCTTGAATTAAAGTGCTTGATTAAATGTGATGATTTCTAAGAACAGTAGTTAACTTGGAGTATTCTGGTTCCTTCAGATGTTTGAGAATGGCATTAACATCCGCAAGGTCGTGAGTGCATTTCCCAGAAAACATGTATACTTTGAATGCATCAAAGCCGATACATGCCAGAGCACTTATTAGGTATATTGTAGTGTGTGTGTGTGAAATGTGACCTACTTTTCTATGGTGTTCCGCAGGCATATACCTTACAAGATCACAACATTCCTTGTTGGCACTAATGCAGCACAGGTCATCACATTATCTTGAAACAGTTTGTGGTTTGACAACATGAAAGTGTCTTCATTTTGAATCACTTCAAACTGAACAAACTTCTTTTGTCAAATGTTTTGCTTAAAAACGTGAGTGTGCTGTCTTGGTTTGAAATGTTGTTTTCTCACTTGTGCACTTTGAAATGTGTCCAAATCCTATTCGGGGCCTCTGCATTGGATGCTGCTCGATGGAAGTCAAGTTACCTTTATTTATATAGCGCTTTTAACAATACAGATTGTGTCAAAGCAGCTTTACAATATTAAATAGGAAAATAGTGTGTAATAATGCAAAACGGTAAACACTCAATTTTCAGTTAAAGCCAGTTTGTCGTTGATCAGGGTTTTTTCTTTTTCTTTTTTTTCTATCGCCGCTTACCTGACTTGTGCAGGTACAACCTTAATAACTTGATAAGTTGCCAGATATGCAGTGCAATGATGGCTGGGATTATTTTATTAGCTGTGGCCTAAATAGACTCGTGCTGACAGCCTGGAAACATCAGGTAATCCCAAGCGAGCCTCTATAAAGTGGGGTGCACGCTCGCCCCATCAAGTTGTAGCACGGTCCTGCCTCGTTTCTCCACAGTCTTGCCGAGCCATCCAAACACTACCGCAGAAAGGGGCTGAGCACAACATCCAACTGCAGCCATGAACGGTACAGAGGGACCGGCATTCTACGTGCCTATGTCCAACGCCACCGGCATTGTTAGGAGCCCGTACGAGTATCCCCAGTACTACCTGGTGGCGCCATGGGCATACGCCTGCCTGGCCGCATACATGTTCTTCCTCATCCTCACCGGCTTCCCCGTCAATTTCCTCACTCTGTACGTCACCATCGAGCACAAGAAGCTGCGTACACCTCTCAACTACATTCTGCTGAACCTCGCCATTTCCGACCTCTTCATGGTGTTCGGTGGCTTCACCACAACGATGTACACCTCGATGCATGGCTACTTCGTTCTCGGACGCATCGGCTGCAACCTCGAAGGCTTCTTCGCAACCCTGGGTGGTGAAATGGGCCTTTGGTCCCTGGTGGTGCTGGCCTTTGAGAGGTGGATGGTCGTCTGTAAACCTGTGAGCAACTTCCGCTTCGGAGAGAACCACGCCATCATGGGTGTTGCCTTCACCTGGGTCATGGCCTGCTCCTGCGCCGTGCCTCCCCTGGTCGGCTGGTCCCGTTATATCCCCGAGGGCATGCAGTGCTCGTGCGGAGTCGACTATTACACTCGCGTACCTGGCGTTAACAATGAGTCCTTTGTCATCTACATGTTCATCGTCCACTTCATGATTCCAATGGTTGTCATATTCTTCTGCTACGACCGTCTCGTCTGCACCGTCAAAGAAGCCGCTGCCCAGCAGCAGGAGTCCGAGACCACACAGAGGGCCGAGCGTGAGGTCACCCGCATGGTCATCATCATGGTCATTGGCTTCTTGATTTGCTGGGTCCCCTATGCCAGCGTGGCCTGGTATATATTCACCCACCAGGGAAGCGAATTTGGGCCTGTCTTCATGACACTGCCAGCCTTCTTTGCCAAGACCGCTGCTGTCTACAACCCGTGCATCTACATCTGCATGAACAAGCAGTTCCGTCACTGCATGATCACCACCCTGTGCTGCGGCAAGAACCCCTTCGAGGAGGAAGAGGGCGCCTCCACTACTGCATCCAAGACCGAGGCTTCGTCCGTGTCTTCCAGCTCCGTGTCCCCAGCGTAAACACTCGTCCGTGACACACGATAAGCAGCTACGTGCACTGGGCTTTGACGGCGACCGACGACACAGAGACCACAAAGTGTTCAGCCCAGGGAAACGAGCGACCGCTACCACTTGCAGAAAAAAATGTTCGTCAGTTTTCCTTTTTGTATTTTTACAAAACCCAATTGGTTCAACCAAAAGACAGTTTTGAGAGAGGACAGACCGCGACCGCTACCACTTGCAGAAAAAAATGTTCGTCAGTTTTCCTTTTTGTATTTTTACAAAACCCACAAAACCCAACCAAAAGACAGTTTTGAGAGAGGACAGACCATGTCCCAGTTTCAGTACATCCAGCGAGTCCAGCGTAACGGTGCATAAGATTATTTTTGTTTTTTTATTTTTCTTCCTAAAATGCAGCAAAAGGAAAAATATCTTAACTCTCTTACTGTTGGACTCCTTATACTGGCTTTGTTGTGATTGTAGAGGCATGTATTCAAGGCAACGTAACAATAAAAAGCACTTTGCAAATTAAATCGCTCTGTTTATGTTTTGATTGAGCTGTAATGTTAACGAAGTGTCGAAATAGCATTTTAAATCAAATAATTTCTGATGAGAGCTTTAATGTGGTGTATATATTCCCACCTTCGGTAAAGGCTGAGTGCTTTTTAATCTATTCTGTTTAATCAACACCAAGACAATAGCTACTGCCGAGTTTTGAATTGAAAAAAGTACATACATTTCTTCAACAGTTAACAGCACCATAATTATGGATAACAGGCTCAATATGTTATTCAACGCAAGTATACAACCGGGGCAATCCTCACTGTCACCTTGGATTAAAGGCTTTATTAAGGATGATTTGACAGATATGTATGGATGAATTAGGTAGGATCAGAGCTGACATGTTAATCCTGCTCTAGGTCAGAGTGGTGAAAATAGATTATGATTATGTATAGTTTGCCTTTCACTGGCATCTGTGTAAATAGGGACACACAGCCTCACAAAACATTTGGTAACACTTAAGATTATGGAACACTATTCACTAACATGAACTACTGTAGTTGCTTATGAACATGCATATTACTAGCATATTGGCTGTTTATTAGTACTTATAAAGCACATATTAATGCATGACCATGTTTTAGATCCCTTAAACCTACCCCATACCTAAAAATAACTACTACTACAACTGCATTACTTACTATGAACAAGGGGCAAATTAGGAGTTTACTGAGGTAAAACTCTTAGTTAATAGAGAACCAAAGAAGGTCAGACACTTTTTTACTGAGATTATAGCTAAAATTATTGCTAAGCGTGGACAAGCTCAAGTCTACAAATGCATGTAAGCAATGTTATCAAGATGTTTAAGACTCGTGGCACTGTGGCCACCTTCACTACACATGGCTGCAAGAGAAAACTTTGGTTTTTGGAAAAGCACTTTGGTCAGCCTCAACACAGATTAAAGCTGACCTTCAGACACAAGGTATGACAGTTTCAACTTGCAACATCTCCATGAAAGGGGGTTGTAAGGTAGGAGACCCAGAAAACCCCCCACAAAGTCATGTCTGAAGTTAGCCAGAACTAGGGCTGGACGATATGGCCAAAATTGATATCAGGATATACAGTATTTCTTAATTTCGGTCGATATGATATAATTCCAATATCGATATGAACAATATTTTAAAAAAGCCTCATAAAAACTGCCAAGCAACCCACAACAGATGTCTGTACTTACAAACTTCTGGAAAATTAATTTTACAAGTCTATGTGTTACGGGGCTGACAAGACGTGAGACGTGCGGATCCATGTGCAAGCTTTAATTCAAGCAGAGAGGTCAGAAACACAGGCAGGGTCGAACAAGGGCAAACAGGTATAATGAGGGCAAGACAGAAGAGTAATCCAAAACGGGCGTGGTCGATAAGCGGCTAACAATATCCAGAGGGCTTGACACGAGGGGTTATCCAATAACAATGCAAAGGTCCAGGCAGGGGCAAACAGTATCCGAACAGGTACACAGGCAATAATCAGAAGACGGGGAAACAGACAAGGCAAGACTAGGCGAAGGCTAACGAAAGGAAACAGGCTCCGTATAGTAGCTATCGCTAAGAGAGTGATAAACGCATACAATACTCGGCAGAGGGAAGGGATCAGAGTGAGTGTTAAATAGTGAGTGAGTGATATGAAACAGCTGTGTGCAATCAGTGCTCAGTTGTGACTAGACTTGACTCATGACGATCAGTTGTGACTAGACTTGACTCATGACGATCAGTTGTGACTAGACTTGACTCATGACGATCAGTTGTGACTAGACTTGACTCATGACGATCAGTTGTGACTAGACTTGACTCATGACGATCAGTTGTGACTAGACTTGACTCATGACGATCAGTTGTGACTAGACTTGACTCATGACGATCAGTTGTGACTAGACTTGACTCATGACGATCAGTTGTGACTAGACTTGACTCATGACGATCAGTTGTGACTAGACTTGACTCATGACGATCAGTTGTGACTAGACTTGACTCATGACGATCAGTTGTGACTAGACTTGACTCATGACGATCAGTTGTGACTAGACTTGACTCATGACGATCAGTTGTGACTAGACTTGACTCATGACGATCAGTTGTGACTAGACTTGACTCATGACGATCAGTTGTGACTAGACTTGACTCATGACGATCAGTTGTGACTAGACTTGACTCATGACGATCAGTTGTGACTAGACTTGACTCATGACGATCAGTTGTGACTAGACTTGACTCATGACGATCAGTTGTGACTAGACTTGACTCATGACGATCAGTTGTGACTAGACTTGACTCATGACGATCAGTTGTGACTAGACTTGACTCATGACGATCAGTTGTGACTAGACTTGACTCATGACGATCAGTTGTGACTAGACTTGACTCATGACGATCAGTTGTGACTAGACTTGACTCATGACGATCAGTTGTGACTAGACTTGACTCATGACGATCAGTTGTGACTAGACTTGACTCATGACGATCAGTTGTGACTAGACTTGACTCATGACGATCAGTTGTGACTTGACTAGACTCATGAATATCAGCTGTGACTTGACCAGACTCATGAGTGACTCGATTGACTCGATCTGACTCATGACGATCAACTGTGACTAGACTCGACTCAGGAAGATCAACTGTTGACTCATG